GAAAAACATATGACATTCTAGAGGATAGCTTTGCATCATTCAGCTCTCTTGTGTCATCTTACTTAAAAGATCAAATTCATTTGGGTTACTTACAAAACTGTATGATTAATTCTTTAGCTAAAAATCCTTTTCTCTACTCACACGTTTTAAAATCTGGTCTCTTTTGTCACACGTAGGAAATTCTTCATTCAGACTTGACCTGACAGACCCAGAGTGAATAGCCTATGGTTACCTGTACTATGGCTCCATATTTTGAGACCAAAATATAACAACATGGAATTCAAGACCTCCCACAAAATTAAGTAAAATGTTGAACAATTTTATTGCTGGCCTGTTTCTAATGTTTACCTCATCATCATTTATTAGAACTAGAAACTAAAATGGAACTGTCTCCCTGAAAAAGAAGTTAGAGCACCACAGCAACAGGCACTGGGTCAGTGACAGTCTCAAAATGACACAGAGACTCTATTTGAATGACCAAGTCATGTGTCACCTTTTTTTTCTGGCCCTCTCTTGTCCTTTAAATAGGGACAAGATGATAAAAGATACTTACAGAACATGGATTCCTAACATTTCAGCTCCTCTTATTCAAATATATTTCCAGGTCTGCCCTCAAAATGTACTAAATATGGGCTTTAGCAAGTCACTGAAAGTATCATGTTCCCATGCTTCTGAATATATTATGAAAACTTTACAGAAAGAACAGCAAAAAGTGAAGCCTTACTCACTGAACAACTTCTGAACAGAGGAAGAGACAGGAGCAGTCCCATGGTTTTGGCTCCAAGACCACAGGTTGGCAGTGACACTACAATACACTGACTTGCTCTGCTGACATCTGTGTCAGCAAAAGCATTAACTTGCCATTAAACAGGCATCTGTACATCTGGATTAGACAATATCTAGATTAGACTGAAACAGAGTAACCAGTTTGCTTTTTCAATGCTTTTTTCACCATTCTCTTCGCATCTTTCTGGGTGTTTCCTCCATCAATTGGCAGACATATATGTTCCTCATTATGCAGAGAGCAGAACAACCATTTCATAACTGAGCAATGTTTCTCAAACAAGAGATTAACTAGCTGCAAATAAAACCTAGAATTTGCCTTGGGAAATTAGCTATTCTCTCACATAATGAAGCTTTATCTACCTTTTTTAGGGGCTGAAATATGAGAAAGTCAGTAGTGAAGTATTCACAACTCAGAGAAGTATCTCCACCTTGTAAGATATTATCTCTACTAACTGATGCAGATTTTGACATTGGACTCTTTACTCAAAGTCCTTACTCAAAGACAAGAGGAAAGGTAGCATGCTGCCTCGTGTGGCACAGCAATATGCCCCACAAATTACACGTAGTGTTGACAGTGATATTTTTAAAGATGTGGTTGACATTCCTAACAGAATTGACAGTTGCAAAAATCCAGATGGTTTTCTGTAATATCTAACACCTGTTAATACCATTTCCACCTTGTTTCCAATAAGTTTAAACTAGACTATTTTCTTGCCTTTCATTATCACCTAGGAACTCAACAGGGATGCAACAATGGACTTTCAGGACAGCAAAACACACATGCAGGTGTCCTGCAGTTCAGAGATGTAATAATGTTCCCAGCAACATCTTAAATTGTTACTCTATTAGACCTTAGAAAAAAACCCCACAACCTCTTGAAAAAAATACAATTACCCTAAAGGAGGATTTTGATTCTACCTGACATAAAGAAAAGCAGACCTTTTATGTAACCTCTTATTGGCCTGTTAAAAGACATCAAGGTCTGCAGTATCGCATGATAGCCGTGGTTATTGTGCCTACTGGGTTTATACTGCTATCTAAATAACCTGGTTTGTGAAACACTCTCAGAAGCTGAACTGTGATTGAGAAGTAATTTTAACAGGTTTGAAACTTTCATTATAGGAACTACTTCCTCTGAAGAGGAACATCAATATTTCAGTCACACAAAAATTCTTCCTTTTTCCACTGAGTTAGGCCATTACTCAATCCAGTGTTATTAAGTCATTTTTCCTTCATATAATCTATTGTTAAGTATCACACTGGCTTGCAGTAGCTTTCATTCTTAACAGATTTAGAACAAAATAAAGCCTACTAGACCATGCACTATTTTGATGAATATATATCAATTAGTTGGGAAAATTTCTTAGCAAACCTTACTTATTCATTTAGCAATAAATGGTGGATTTAAGCTGTCAGTTAGAAATTGATTTTTACACAGATCGAGCTTCCTAAACTTTATGAATACTTTATTGCTTGTCTTCCCTATAACTCTTAACTAGGTCTATTCAGAAACTGATTATTACATAAAATCAGTTTCCTAAAGTTTTTAATACTTTACCACTTAAAACTCCTAAAAATCTTAACTAGGTCTATTGCAGAGAACAATGGAATAAAATAAATTTTCCTTGGCATTTGAGTGTACATATTTTGAATACTGCAGGGGATTTGGATGAATGATTTAGATTAATGTTGACTGGCAGATAAGAAGTCAGTTTTATGAAAACTTTTGACACGTCAACATTTGTTTTTTCTCTGTTTTGGAGAAAACACAAAACTCTGAAATGAAGAAGGCTACCAGTTTCACATTCCCCCATTTCTTCAGCAAAGCTTTCCAGACCACTTCATTTTGGATAAGTTAGGAGAGAACAGGAATTCAAATGGAAGTCCCCGATGAGTCATGTTAACATCCCAGTAACCATGATAATGAGAAGTCTCTCTTACACACAGTGTTACTAGGTCCCTTAAATGTCTTTCCCAAATAATCTTTTATGTGGATTTTTTTTTTTTTTTAATAAAAATTAAAAACCTTGAGGGAAATCCCTAACACTCTCTGCTCCATAATTTTGCTGTATGATTTTTCAGCTAATACCTTCCTGCCTCAGAACTAAGTTATCTCTACTAATTTTTGCAGATTTTGACATTAGACTCTACCAAAGTCCTTACTCAAACAAACTCTCTACCAAAGGGAGAAAATTAAATTCCTGTAGAAGTAAAAAATGTCAGACTAGGTCTTCAGTAACGGATTTGGGGATTCTTCAGGGTGAAAGACAGTTAGTTTATTCCCATTACTATACACATGTTCACCTTACCATGTTCTACCCAGAAAACAAAAATACCTTTTATCTAATAAAATGCAAAAGATGGCATAATTGATTTTTTTTTTTTTTTTTTTTTTTTTTTTTTGATGACAGTTCTCAAAAGTAGCAAATCACTGTAGATTCAGTCATGCACAGAAACTTAACACAAGTGTGGAGGTTTGAGAGAAAAAAAAACCTAAGCCAGACAGAATAACAAAAGGTCTTGATGTAGAGTCCGACAAAGTACCACTGGGCAGACAACGTCACCCTGAAGGTAAAACCCAATCCAAAGCAGTAGGAAGCTGATACAACGGCAACAAGGAAACACATACTGTAAATTAATTCTTCCCATTATGTTTAGAGTCTGGTAGGAAGGCTGGAAGTCTTCTCAGGGCCAGCCTGTGACAGTAAGTCATTGATATCCTCTATGTTCAGTAGAACTAGCTGCAAAGTAAGGTCCTACAAGACTGGCACTGAGATGCTGGAGTCAGACTCTTGTTCTGCCCTTAGAAACATGCAAATCACATGATGCTTTTTGTCAATCTGGCCTCAAGTACCAAATCTAGCTACAGTTCTATATATTTCAGATGGATGACTTCAAAAAGGTATAATTTTACATGAGCTCTTTAGCCTATTCAGCCAGATATTTAAATACATCTTCACAAAATCACTGTTTTTAATGATACTTAATAGTAGAAGTATCCACCAGGCATATAGTCATCACACACCTTTTTATCTGACAGTAAGTACAGTTTAGGATAAGCTTTTGATCCCTCTACTTCCACTGAATCAATGGAAATTCTTCATTCAGAGGCATAAGTGTCTCTGTGTGGCATATATTATACCATAAAAAACCCTATGCATGACAGAAGGGGAAGATGGTGGAGTAATACTGTTCTTCTCAGGTCTTATACATATAAGAGAGGATAAATGGGACAGTGAAAGAACTAACAGACCAAATTCACCCCTACGCAGTATAGCATTATGAACTTGGCACAACGTTTTTAAGTACATTGGGTGGGATTTATGTTTTGCTGAGGAACTTTTACACAACTCCACACGGGGCTATTTATTTCTTTCCTGGGGAAAATGCTACCGGTACGCATCAAAAGCTCCTAGGAGAAAAACCTTGTCATGAACACACTGAGCTCCAATACAAAGGATCACACAAGCTGTTCTGATAGGAGCACATGTAACAACCTGCACATCTCTGAGTGCATTCCCCTTTCCTGCTGAAGTCAGCATGTGTCTTTCTCCCTAATTGGACAGGTTAGCATTTATCCTAGCATTTATCCTAGAGACAGAGCAAAACCTGCAGCTCAGATCCAGATGTCCCTGATCCTTTGGGGGAAAAAAAAAAAAACAAAAAACAAACAGGGGACTGCATTGCAGAATTTGGTCATTTTAAACTCTGCCTCAGTCACTGCACAGAATAAAAACGTGCATTTGTTAGAGCTATGTTTGGTTACACAAAGTACTGTAATGCTAGTTACTAGGACAACAATATAGTTGTTTAGACCGTGAAGACAATTTTCACAAAAAGAAAGGATAGCTATTTAACATTTTTGAAGTCTGCCTAAGAATCTCTAGAAAACAGAAAAAATGTAGGAAATAGTTATTTTTTAACCTATGTTTCTCAGATTTGTATTTGCAGTCCTATTATTCTACTCTCCCCGGTGGTAACTTTGCAAAATTTCATATCAACATAAGAGTTCATCTTTACCATGTGAAATACTGCGCTCAGGTAATTTCAAAGACAGGTTGAATACTAGGGCTGTTTGGAAATCAGTGTAAGATTCTATGTGACTGCAAGAAGCAAAAGACATTGACTCGAGGACTATCTAAAACATCCACAACTAAAAACATGCTCAAGTGCAGAGAGAGCCCTGACAAATAGAGATGAAACCAGGAACTTACGTCATGACCAGTGTCTCATCTCCAGGTTCACTAAGTAATCCATCTACAAAGACTGAAGTGCTGGTAAAATTATGTGTACTCCAAGTCTGGCCTTCATCTATGCTGAACCTGTAAAGCAGAAATGGTTTTCATTTACAAATGTTATTATACAAAACAGAATTAATTTATTCAGAAAAACATCCACTCACTACTAAAGCCCGGGATTTACGATTGCGAAAGTACAATAAGCCAGGACAGTGTATCATATTAATGTGATTTTTTTTCTCAGCAACGTATCCAGGAGCTCACGTCTTTATTAGAAGGTGTATAATAAATTTGCCACAACAGTGGAAATTCTCATGCAGATAAAAACTGAGGTCTGTCAACAAACTATCTTGCTACCTTCTAGGTTCAAGAGTAAGTGAATTTACACTTCATTCTTTCTAGTTGTCTCTGAATTACAGACCTGTTAAGCAGAGTTGAAACATGAGAGCCAAACCAGCCCAATTGCTACAACATGTGGGAGGTGCAGTAACTGCAGGCACCAAGATGATGGCCCTTCACAACTCACACCATCCGTTTAAAAAAATTCGCAAAAGATGCTGATGAATCAGAAAAACATACTCCAAATACTTCGTGCACCCAAAATTTATGAATCAAAGCCTCTTTCCTTCTGCACATTTCCTCCAGGTCTTTTGGTTAGTAGGTTAATGATGATTTTCATTCTAGCTAAGCAAGTACAGAGCCTAGCTCCTATCAGTGCACAGAGTATTATGTAAAAACAAACCTAGTCACAACTGTTAAAAATCTCTTACATTTTTCATGCTGAAGATGATAGTTTTGTATGCCATTACATAAGGTTACCATACTTTGTTTCACTATCATGCAGTTTTTTATAACTATGCATTTTTAATACCATGCAGTATTTTATAACAAAATGTTTTGCAGCAAACCTTTCCTGCCAAACAAGCTGAAAAGGCCATTTACTACCTTGTCACTATATGACAGGATCTACGCATACTTCAGTTGATTCATGCATGAGTATTTCAGATGAACTGGGCTTCTTGTATACTGTGTTACACAGTACATAAGCACTCATAAGTCCTTTCCCCATTGGCTCCAAAGTCCACATGATATCGCTCTTGCCAGAGCAACTTAAGGCTGTTCTCCAATGTCTTCATTCACTGTGCCCCTTGGAAGGGACAGAGTTTTACTACAGTATGAATGAAGTATCATGACTGGATGTCTAAGCCACATATGTGTGATAGGTTGAGCATCATTGCCATATACTGCTGGTGCAAACCAGTAGCAGATAACAACCATGCTGAACATGTCTTGTACTGTGGAGTTCCAGGACAGACTTTTAAGCAAAAACACCTACACATTGACGCGAGGAAATTTTATTATGATTAATGCATTATGCCATGGTACCTTAAGCACCATGAAGCAATCTTTAAGAAAACATCCACCTCGACTTTGTTGACTTAATGAATGTTAAATTAAGCTGACTCCACCTGCATTTCATACATAATCACATTGAAATGCTCATCTTAAACTCTGAACTTTGCCTGAGCTCTCAAATACACAATAGCTCTACTCAAATCGACTGTACGATTACTTGAGTATTTTCAGAGGGATAGATGTGTCTTTGATGGCCACAATAACTCCACCATGGTCCAGGTACAAGATATGGTGCTCTTCTTCAAAGACCTACAAGCAGACAAAAAAAAATACCAGCTAAGCAAATGTAAAACCAGCAGAAATAAAATGTACAAGCAAACCAGGATTAAAAGACTTTTATGTTTTATAATGTCCACACTTCAAATTGAAAAGGACATAAAAGTCAGTTTAACTCTTATATTTCTCTCAGCTGTAGAAGAAAAGAAAGTTAAGCAGGTGAATCAGAAAACGTTCAGGTTCAAATCACAGTCAGATTAAACTGTCTAAAGTGATTTTAGCCCAACCTTATATTTCTCACAGTATGCATTCTGCATTCCTTCCTATTATATATCACCAAGTGACCTATCACCTTACTTTGGTATTTGCCATATTCTGTGTATCTTGCAGAATAAAATGCTTTGTAGACTAATTCTAAGAAAAATAGGAAAAGTACTGCTGTCTGTGACTTTCTCACATGTTCTCCAGGTTCTGCAAAACTGGAAATAATTGGTGCAATCATGTCTTCTGCATTTCCAGCGCCAATGATTTATTTAAATTCAAACTTCATGTGATCCCACAGAGGCTGCTCTGAGTTCTGAACCAAAAACACATGTAATATTAATGATGTAAAGGATTCAAAATTTCCCAAATTATTTTCATTCATTTTCTAGAGTTCAGCAGCAGTACTAAAATAAACAAACAGGATAAATCTTTTTACATCTGAAATCTGTTTTATGACAGGGTTTACTCATGTTATTAACCTGTGAAAGTTCACATTTAACATAAGCACAGGTGATAAAGTGAGAGTTACTACACACACTTAGCAGTTAATGGACAAACATGCAGCCTCCTACATGCTTTACAAAGCAAAGGTGAAAACCAGAAAGGTTAGTTTTACTTTGCCTTGTGAATGAAAACATACTGACAGTACTAAATGCTTCGTTTTTTTGGCAATACTAAATACTATATTTAGAGGAATTATCAGCAAGATTGAATTGGAGTGGAGAAAAAGTATCATACAGCACATCCACAACTACTTCAAAAATCATAAGCATGTAATTTGGGTTGAGAATTCAGTCTTCCTCTCATCTAGTCAGAACATATTTTATGGGAATCCTAGGGCTTCAAGTGTCTGATCAGTTTTTCAGTGTTGCCAGTTTACAGGCAAACCCCTGATATGAGGCATTTTACAGCCCTATCTACTTGTTCCACACAGCTGCATATTTTAGAAGACAATTCAGTAAAGGACAGATATTAATTTTAGATGCATTTCAAAAGGATGAGATCAGCTGGAGTCAGATAAGCAAGCAGACTTTTGATCCTCCTCTAAACTTTGAACTTTTTTACAAATAAAAATGAAACAGTGTATGTTGGGACAGGAAGTCTCCAAGAGCTTCACCATCATACTGATGATAAAGGAAGCTGGTATCTGCATCACTTGATCCAAATTACGTTTTCCCAGAAAAGCACCATGGCAGTTCCTCATGCAGCATTTTAGTACCCCAGCTTCAGCACACCATAAAGCACAGCCAACACGTTACAGGCATATTAATGCTATCTTTATATCATGCTCTTCTTGCACACATTTCAAACATTTTATAACCAAAATTTATTAAATTCCTTATGAAATATCTTAATCTATAGTACATTGAAAAGAATTAATGATTTCGTGCTTGTGGAGTGCAGCACAATACCAAACATCTCTACTTTCTGGAAACGAACCCAAGACAGTTTGCAAAAAATTCAGGTAAAGGTGGTCCCAGTGTCAGAACTGCAGTTCAAACCCAGGAACAAGAGACATGTGTTCAGTCAGCCACAAATTCTGATGTATGTCTCTCCACTAGCTAAAGCCAGGTAATAAATTTATTATGATCCTTGCTTGTAGCCAGTCACTACAGAACTAGATTTTTATAACCTATTTCTATTTTTTCCTTATTCTGTAATTTTTCAAGCACATTATGAGCTTTATGATCATAATGTCCACTTCTTTTCTGTTCCTTTCTTCCCTCTGCTCTAAATGTTTTTCTTGTGTCTGTCCTAACAACTTCAGCAGCTATTTCAGGACAGAATATCTGTTAGGAGCAATTAGCAGAGCTCCATTAAATCAAAGAAAACATGTTTAAACGATCTTAAGAGTAATTTACTCCACACAATTTTACTCTGAGATACAGAAGTTTCAAAAGTAACCAAAAGTACCCAAAGTCACTTGCTTCTCTCACCAAGTGACATCCATTTCTAAATTCAAATGTAGAAACACAAGTCTTCCTACACAGAATTGCAGTTGGAGCTTCCCAGGGGTGAGAGGCTGGGATCGCAGCCTTTCCTGTTGTGCTTAAAAGGTGTTACCTCTTAAGATGTCTACAGAAAAACAAGTATTCTCATTTAAACAAAGGTTTCCCAAATTGCTTTGATACAAAAGGATTTGACATAGAGAAATAATATTTCAACAAAGCACTGGCCCCAGAGGTCTAGATTCAGTTCCTAGATATACAACAGACTTTCTGTGTAACCTTATTAGCTTAATTGAGAGTTGCTACACTAGTTACTTTGGTAGCAGAGCAAATATGAAAGGCTTTTTGTTGCTGACTTTTTCTGTTTATTTAAGCCATTTCTTTTGAAAGCCAGACCTTTCTCTTACTCTGTTTGCCCTATTCAAGCACAGTGCTTTAACAGATGCTGTTGAAATAGCAATGGCAACCATAACTGTGAACATAAATCATTTAAAAAATAAATAAATAAAATAAACTCATATGTATACACAAGGTCATACTTAGCATTTGACAGAGTATCCTAGTATTTTAAAAACCGGGACTGAAGAAACAGGCCCCACAGGGGAAAAAGTTGTTTAAAACCTGCATGGTCTGAAATTGTGCTCAAAGGTAGCCCATTTCTCCCAAGATACAAGATTTATTTATCTATCTGACTCAGTATCATGTTTATTAATGAATTTTATGATATTGTTTCCCTGGCGTAATAGACAGAAACCTTCCAAAAAGACATATGTGTCCCAGGAGTTCACCCTAGGCTACATCTTCGTGGGTCACTTAAGATGATCTAAGCCCACATAGTTCATGATAACGTCAAGGTGAGATTCTCTTCCCTTAAAGGCCAGATTACGGCTGCTGCATGGACATTTAAGATACTTGTCAATCAGCTCCTAAACTACTGCTATTTACAGTGCAATGTTGTACAATACGCAGTCACAAATTTAAATTTGCCGTAAATGGTACACAGTGGAGCGATGTCTTCAGGAGATGCCAACAAGCAGCTCTGGCATCGTGCAATAGAAAGCCAGAGCAACAACTGGAGCCAGCCCAAGTGATATTCTGGCTATTTATAATCACAATCCTTGTTTTTACTTCTCCATTTATCACTAGTATTTACTTAATTTCACAAAATTCTCATTTGGTAATTTTTATTTCTACCTATAAACACTGGCTGTATATCCTACCATAGTAAGATATGAACTCTCATATGACCTTACCGTATGCAAGCTATGAAAATATGGGTTCCACTGAAATCTTTAAGTGTATACAGCTGGTTAAGGAATTATGGAAAGAAAATGATCACTAGGTCACTGTTAAATTGAGAATGTATTACAAATTCAGGAACTCAAGGACTGGTCCCATTTGGAATCAAAAACTGAATCTGAGTCAACAATGTGATGGTGGTGCAAAGAAGAGAAATCTACCGAAATGAGGTGCCAGTAATGTCAAGACATCAAGGGCAATCATTTCATTCTGTTTAGTACTGATAAAATTTGTAATTTTGCATTCAGTTTTACATGCTTCAGGAGAAGGATGTCATATTACACAGTCCAATTAATGAGCAACAAAAAGTAAAAGTGCTTTAGAAATCTGATCCACTAGGAAAATAAATGGATTTGAGTTAGCTGTTTTCCAAGGGGGAAAACCCTATACTCTGGGTAGAAATGGGTAATCACCTTTCAACATCTGAAAAGTTATTCAGAGGTGACAGGAAACTACTACTCTCCAGAGACAAGGAGAAATCAACTTGCAGAACTTGTGAAACTGCAAGAACAACAGCAAAAAGCATAGTCTGCTTAAGTTAAATATTCAAAAAAATCTATGAAGAGTGGTGACACACCACAGTCAGACTGAAGAATCTCCTACAGTGAAGGGCTAACAAATAAGCCTGGCAAACCTCTGTTAGAGATGTTTCTAGTATGTTTGATGTTGTCTCAGAGCAAATTGTTGAATTACATGATCTTGGACCTTCCTCCCAGGCCTACATTCCTATGAACCAATACTGCTATTATTTCTCTAAAGCTTTTAATTAATTCCTTGAACTACCTTTCCTTTTAAGTCTTTTATATTTCTTTTCTGCGTTGCTCTGTCACTCTATGTAAGCACAGACTGCTTCTCTTCCAGTCTGTAGACAGCTCAGCAACATGATGTGTGGCATGTGAGAAAGGTTACAGGCATTCACTCATGACAACCACAAAGTTTCCAAGTCAGTGACTTAAACCCACCTGAAGGGTTGTGCCAAAACATGAGCTTTGTTCTGCTTTTACCAGCTCACAAGACCTGTAATATACTGTCTAAATAACTCCCATCTCAGACTGAAGACTTGTCTTTTGTTGCGTGAACTCAGAGTTCACAGACAGAGAGAGGAAAAGTGCTGCTGTCCATTGAAAGAACTGTTTGATCATAAACAGTGAGGCCATGAAATACATACAACAATCTACATTTTCACTCTGATAACACATATTAAGATTGAGTAAGCTCCTTCAAATGCCTCGTAGCAGTTTTAATTAAAATAAAGCTAGCAATGGTGTTTTTCATTTTGACTGTCATAATGAGGGATCAGTTTGTGGTTGGTTTTACAGCAGGAATAGTCATCTTAAGGTCAAGTTTCATCACATATCATTTGCCTGAGTGTCTCTCAAACAAAAAGCAGCAAAAATGTGAATTTGATTCCCTTAAGTCTTTTCTTCTTATTTTTCACCCCAGAAAAACTACAGAACTTTGGCAAATTGTGACAATAAATTATGAGTCCTCTGTGAAGTATCAGACAACAGAGTACCCACTATAAATCCTGGAAGGCTTTTGCATTTAAAAACCTATTTATCATATGCTAGATTTCAAGAAAGAATTTGGCATACCATTTTATCTTTTAAACCTCAAAGGACATTATCATGATAAAAATAATGTATTTCTTTTAAAAAGTCTTTCTGCGGAGTACAAATAGCACCCTACAATAGCAATATAATAAACTGTATTTTCCTCTTTTAATCTCAAACTCCCCAAGCTTGGTAGCACTGGTGAGAGTATTTTCACACTTACTTGCTCTCAGAAAATAACACAGCTTAATTCTATTTCATCTGAACACTAAACCACTATTTTAACTGAAATTAATTGTCTTTTTGACACACTTTGGTCCTTTGAGGGTGTTTTTTTTTTTCTCCTGGATATACATTCTAAGTGGATTCCAGATCATACTGTCTGTTGTTGCTATATACACACAGAAAGAAAATATCCCTGTGATTAAGCATTGCTGAGAGAGAGCAATTTAGGAAGAAATACATAATAAAGGTGCAATGCTTAAATTTACACTAGGCATTGGAAGCAAAAGACATGCAGAATTCAAATGGCATTACTACATGACTGTTCTTTTTTTAATGCTTTGGTGCTTGTAGTCACAGAATTGATTAAATCATATTAAAAGACATTCAAAGGTTTATTGTTTTTAAAAAATATCTTTTCACTTTCTCAGTTTCAGTGAAGAACAAAGTTTAAGCTTCGGTACCAGTTTTCGGACTATGAAGCACAAGACTTTCTGCCTTTGTACCTGAGTCATGTCTTTTAACTTGAAATATTTGTACTGCAAGATCTGCCCAAGTCCACTTCATCATTAACATAGGACGATTACTTAAATTCCTAAAACCATAAACAGACTCTATTTAAAGAGACAAAAATATTCAAGTTTTAGCTGAACCTGATAGCCAAAACAATATGAGTCTTTGCAAATCATCTTAATCTCTCCCAGATTCCAAGCAAAATGGGGATAATAACAGCCACCTCCTCAAAAGAGTGGGTATATAAAGACAAATTAAGCATTATAAAATTAATCTCTTTTGGTACTTTAAAATTTCCAGATATCTTTGATGATTTTTGTGTCCTACCTGACGCCATGTGTTCCCACAGTCAGATGTTATGTACATCTCTTCTTTATACTCAACCAGCTGAGACCCCAGGTTACCTGTCACAAAACAGGAGGAAACAAGAGTTGCACCCACATGAGCAAGAGAGGTCGAATCTAATCCTTACACCAGTCAGAGTGGGAAGTTTCCAGGTCAGAGCAAGAACTAAACTCAGATGATCAGAAGGCTTACTTCATGTCTGGTAGCACTACATAAAAACTTTAAAAACCTTCTATGTACACTTTAAATCGCTTCCTTTACATTACTCGTTATCCACAGGTGGGAGCAATAATTCTTAATTCTAATACTGAAATGCAGATGCCAAACCAACATTTTAGATTTGTTGCTGTATGCTGAAAAAGTATTATAAAAGGTCACATATTTAAGATGTAAGTCTGAAACACCGAAAAACTCAGAAGCCATACCTTAACCTTAATCACATTCTATAAAATTATTCATCTTGAATTTAAATTGTCGAAGCAAAAAAATATTTTATCTGTAAGAGTTTATGAAGTGGCAGCAAAATCTAGGATCCAGAGAAATATGTAACACTGAAAAGATGGGTCAGGGGGTTTGAAAAAGTGTGTAAATACCAAAGAATCTAAAGCAGAATTATTTGATTTACCTAAATATTGACAAGGAAGCTACTGAATATTTTGACAAAAAGCACTGAGGAGCAGTAGCTAGCATTCAGCATGCTGCAAACCAAACAGAAGTGTTAAAACAAACTTGAGGAAGATGATCTTGGCAGATGCAGTCCCAAATACTGTAATCTCTATTTTTTGAAATATAGTATTTCAAACAGCAAACTATTATACTACTAGGCAGTTTGCAGTGTTCTAGGGGAGAAGCAATCATAGCACAATATTCCTTCTAAATTATGTCCTCCAGGGAATCTTGACTTAAATATATGGTTTGCATGTTTTTACAGTAGAAATAAAAGTTAGCAGATCCTCTCAAGCAGAAGAGAAGAGGAAAGAAAACACTTGAGATTAGGATAGCAGTATGAAATTTCACTTGTGTTATATAAATAGCTGTTTTTAAACATCAAACCAGATATGTTTATGCAGAACATGCTCAGTAGTGCTGAAAGGATCATGAGAGGAATGACAGCACCCGCTGCTCAAAATACATGTTCTGTCTGGACTATCAAGATTGTACGTTCTCCACTGTTTAATGGTATAACCCTACGTTACTTAACCCTAAACACAGTCTAGACAGGATTAGGAAATTTATGATCAGGGAATTTATAAGAGTTGGTTCATTTCTTTCAACTGCCTCTAACATTTCAGAAGATGCCACTGCCCCCTCTTGGGTTTTCATCTTTCCAACTCATTTCACATGCTCTTATTAAATAATTCAACACAGATTTACTTGGTCATGTAATTTTGAAAATAAGACCCTATTCCTGTAGGCAATGAGGAGATTTGATAAGGTCAGTACAGTATGGATGAAGGTGATGTGGACTGAACACCTACTTAAGAACCAGGCTTGTATGGATGAAGTAGATGTATGACCTGAAAGATTAGAAATGTGCCAAAACCATCTTAGCCTTAAAGTGCAGGGATGACCCTCATGACTACTACCGGATGTGACAGCAGTTGTGCCAAGTGAGAAGGAAAGAGAAACAGGTAACTGTGGAGTGAACAGCCCCTATTCTTTCCCTGAAACATCTTTATCTTTGAAAAGCAGCCCCCCCTAAGTCAGCACTGAGGCTGTGGGGTGCTTGCCTGGCAGACATGGGGTCTCACATTCCCACTGCTCTGCCTGCTCAGTCGGGTGCTGCAGCTGGGGTAACCAGGGCCATCATATGGCTTCACAAAAGGGTTATCATTTTCACATGTCTGTCTAGCTTTAAGAAACAAAGGCTCTAGTGATACCAGCAATCAAAACGAAACCTCCATGACAGAAATTGACAGAAAGTCACAACTATATTATCGGAATTAAGGACAAAGGACCATAGGCCTAACAAATGTTTCAATTTATGTTTAAGAACAGATTTAATTTAGGTTTTATTCTGTACAGTAGTCCTTGGAAAATTACACATTTTGGTTACAGTCATGTTGCATTCATTTAGGCAGATAGTCCAATATAAGAGAAAAAAAACAACAATTAAGCGTGACTATTACCTAATGAGACAGTTTGAAATGGAAGCTTCACACTTGAATTCAGTTGTATTTTCTCCCCAAATACAAGTTTATTTAAAAACATTTGGTTAATGGCCGTTTTGAACTTACTCTCTCTTTGAATCCTAAAAACCCATGTGAGCAAAGATCAGGAAAAATTATCTTAACTAGAAGAAGGTATGGATGAGAAATTACCTTCTCAGGATTGAAAGAATGGAAGGGAGGTTTGATCTGTTGTTTATAAAAAACATATTTCTTTTACAATTCTTACTTTTCTCTGTATAGTTTTCACTGGTATATATTTCTGTGAACAGATATGTTCTTGTGCTTCTGTAATTACTCGCAGGTCTCTTTTTGGGGGATAGCTAAGGATAGAAGTATTTATTTGCTTGCTAGAATCTAAAGTATTGCTGTCAGTCTACACCCTTCTTTGCTCAGATACCTTTAATGAATGCATTGTTAGTTTTGTTCCTGTTTATTCTACCTCTTTACACCACTTACTGAAATCTATTTGCATGAGTAGGTCTTTATTTTGAGAATTACTATGGATCTGCACTTTAAAAATTGCAGTGGTAAATAGCCTTAGCTAATGGGGAATTAGTCTGTAAACTAAGCAGCATCAACCTGTGCTTCATTAGAAAGCCTTTTATATCCAGCTGATATGGTAATGACTGAAAGATATTAGCAACAGCTTTGTAATTGCAGCTCCGCAACAAGACAGGCATGACATCTCCTAGTTTTGGTTTTACCTTTATTGATTTTTCTTAGTAAATGAGCAAAAGGAGTTTGTGGACTCAGTTATAATTACAGAGAAATGCTATTCTGTCAAAAACCACAAATGATGACAGACTTGGAATAAAGGCTGGTGTACTGCTTTGGGAAAAAGGACTTCACTGCTCTTTGACCTTTGAAAGTTGACAATCTCCGAGCAAGGGGTGAAAACCTAGAAGTGGTGCAGGCAGGAACTTCTGATTAGTGACAATGTTCTGCACATTACTGAATGCCGTAATTTCCACTAGTTCCAGATTTATTAGGAGATGCCATTATATTCCATAATTTTGCAAATTTTATAAAGTCAAGTCTTCAAGAACATAATAGAATCCTTTCTGTAAGGGAAGATAAAACTTGTCAATTCAGTTGCAGTTTGCTATGTGGCTACTGTAGACAACGTCTTGTTGAAAAACAGCATCAGTGGAGTCAGAAGGAAAAAGCAGGTGAGAGCGCGTAGGAAACGTACATGACCAATGGAGGCAGGGAGGCTCCTGAAAAGCACACGGGGTTGTTTGAAGCGGGAAGCAACCTCACAGCCAAACCTCAGAGGTGACAGGCAGAAGTAAATTTCCATAAGAACACATAGGGGTGTATGATAAGTTTGTTAAACCAAGTATATCCTTTAAAGCTCTTAGCCTAAAAAAACTAAACCAGAATAAAGCTAAGTCCTTCAAAGAACTTAAAGGCTCACTACAGTTTTATGTGCAAACCTTTCTATTTAATGTGTCACACAAGAGTTATGAGTTTTCTCTATCTAAAGAGTTATATTGTTTTATCTTTACTTTTTATGATCTAATAAAAAAATAACTTCAAAGGTTTAGGACATCCTGTTCTTGAGATTTAAAATAAAGCACATGATTTTAGCCTCCAGCTAGATCAGTTTGTCACATTACTGGATTAAGCCAGCTAACTAAACAAAGCACATGTAATAGCACCCTGTAAACCTCTTTACATCCAATTCACATCAAATGAAATGAAAAAAATCCTGACCTTAATAACATTACAAACAAACAACTGCAAAGTCACAGGACCACTCAAAGTAGAGCTGAGACATCCGAAATTTTCCGTGACGTATCTGAGAATTATGAACTGTATTTTGGTAAGTGCGGGATGCCAATAACAAAAATGCACAACTGACATCTCAATCAAGTGATACAGAATGTGAAAACCAGGCAAATTATGCTCAGCCCTGACTGGAAGCCAACATTTCCAGTGTGTAAGTACCATTCCCACCACATCCTGAAGCATTTGGACTATACCTCACACCCACAAACATCAGTGTGCTGTTTGTCTGGCGAATCACACCAAAACCTGTGCTCCTTACTACAGCTGTAAATATCTGCAATAACTCTTCAGGTGTGCCATTACAACATGGAAACTTTTCTAGCATTTTAGTGGGTCTGTGTTAGATCTCAAAATCCATCTGTGGTAACAAGTAAAGGTAATCTAATACACTGAAGGCAATTCAGGTCCATACTGAAAAAGTTACTTCAGCTGGAATGGGTAATCAGCTGCAGGCTTGTCCTGGTTTTGGCTGGGGTTGAGTTAATTTTCCTCATAGCAACTAGAATGGGGCTATGTTTTGGATTTGTGCTGGAAACAGTGTTGATAATACAGCGATGTTTCAGTTACCGCTGAGCAGTGCTTACACAGTATCAAGGCCTTTTCTGCTCCTCACACCACCCTGGCATGGAGTAGGCTGGGAGTGCACAAGAAGTTGGGAGGGGACCCAGACAACATATCTGACCCTAACTGGCCAAAGGGATATTTCATACCACGTGATGCTGTGCTCAGCAACAAACCTAGTGGGGAGGTGGGCAGGTGGGGTGGGTGCGTGCATGGAATTATTAAACTGTTCTTACCTCAACCCATGAGTTTTCTCACTTTTACCCTTCCAATTCTCTTCCGTCCATCCTGCTGTGGGGGGTGGGGGAGCAAGCGAGCAGCTGTGTAGCACTTAGTGGCCAGCTGGGGTTAAACCATGACAAGGCTTTTTTAGCCAGAGCTAAAAATGTTATCATTTTAACATCACTTTTTGAACTAAGTGGCCTGAAAATTCCTCTGACATGACACAGATTGTTTTGCCATCTAGTTTCAAGAAGTTTTGTTTGTAATACAGAAGCTTCTCAAGTTTGTTTTATATTCTTTTTGTAGTTAAATGA